TCTGCACGATACGGATGGCATTACGAGAATAAAATATTATGAGAAGGCACGCTGCGACACCGATCATCTTTTGTGAAGCTGTCGTGAATATAAGCTGCAGATGAAATGTCCTGTTTGCCTGTGAAAGAGATTCCAAACGGATACAGCGCTGACGACGACTCTTTGGTAATTTATGACAAGTCGTGAGATCGACGCAGAGTGCACCGGTTGTGAATACACTGCGGATGATGCAGAAAAGTCTCTTCGGACAGTTTTAACAATGCTTTGCTCCCTTTGCTCACTGCAGTGATTACGACGGTAGTCCTCATAAGCCATGTTATTTTCTTTCGGCGCTGAAGAAATGCACGCGACCGCATAATCTCGGGCAGCCTTTTTTACTTACCTTTTTATTTGCAAAAAAGCTCGTGCGAAAAGAAGAAAAAAAAAAAGAAACGGATTTTGCGTTTCTCCCCGTCCCTACATAGGTACTGTACATCGATATCCCATTGGCTTCATTGCGCGTGACGACTCGACGCTCTTTGCCATGGGAACGTTCGTGAAACTAGAAAGCTTCTGTTTGCCGCTAAAGCGTGTTTCACATGCAGCGATTTTGGCCCTAAAGTGGCGCGATTTCTCCCGTCGCGGCGCTCGTGCCACTGAATTGCTGGTGCTGGCCAGAGCGCCGCGACGGCAGAAATCGCGCCGCTCTTGGGCCAAAACCGCTGCATGTGAACCAGGCTTGACAGTCGCTTTTCGAGTTCGGGTTGTGACGACAAAATGACGTAAGTACAAGAACGCACGGGAGCATTTGCATTGTTTTAACTCGACAACCGTACCCTTGGCGTCATGAACTCGAAAGAACATGGCCGCGATGCTCGTTAGATCGACCGCGGCTGGGGTTTGACATGCGATCGGTAACTTGAGCAACGCGCGCGAGAATGATTTCGTGCTGTTGGATGAGTCCATTCGGTGGCAGGACCGGATTGAAGAGCACGGTGAGCTGGCGTTCATTGTCTCCGGTTTAACACTTGGCGAGATGCAAAACTTGGCTTCTATTTGTGCCGGTGTTATGAAGCTTAAAAGTTGTGGTGTTGTTGTGGCTCACAACGGCAGCCTTGCTGAGATTATAAAGACGGTTATAGACCTTCATTCAGCGTTGCCATGCGTCAAGAACGCTTCCGCGAGCACGGAGGCACGAGCCAACGGTCTGAGAAATAATTGTGCCGCCGCCACGACCGCCAGTGATCGCCCCAACGGCAAGAAAACAAACGACAAGCTCATTGAGGTTTGTGTAACGCTGACTGCTGATTCGTCGGACGACAAAGGTGGATGATATAAAACGCAATGTAATTTTGCCAGCGTTTTGCAAAACTAAAGCGTTTCGTTGAAAATTTAATTTGTGGAATTTGTTAACACCTTGAGAGTTTGGCGGGGACTGCATTGTGAAGGCAGCCTTCACACAAGTGTTTTCTGAAGTGTGTGCTTTGCCTGCATGCATATAAAGACAGAAACACTGCCTATATGGTGCATTAAATAAAGGAAATTTCGCTTATTCTGATAATGTTAACTATATATTGAGTGCCATTGATAGTAGTGGCGTAGCCAAGAACTTCTGAGGGGGTGAGTGGGCAGGGAAGTTAAGGTGACAGGGATGTTCATGACTTGAGGGGGGGGTGTCCAAATTTGTGTGCATATTCCAGGGCCCGCCGGATTAGGGGAGGGGGGGGGGGCAGAGCCCCATAAGGTCCCCCCCTGGCTTCGCCACTGGATGATACCATAAGGGGAGCATCCTACATTCACAGTCTGCCATAAGCGTGTGCATAGCCACTGCGTTCGTACCACAACGGTAAGATAGTTGCTGACATTCTTCACGTAACGTAGCGATTCTTTCTTTAGTACATATGCTCGATTTTCCTTCACACATCTACTCTGCTTCAGCTTGTCGTTTATGCTTGATGGTGACAAGTTAACAGTGCTTATTTGCTCTGCATCACAAGCAAATTTCAAAAAAATGCAGTTCACACTACTCTTTAATTTCAATGAGTTACTGACACTTTTGAAACGACAATCTATTTAATTTGTAGGATAACCTTTACATTAAACACACGCGTGTTTAATGTAGGACAATTGCATCTTTCATGTTTTCCTTGGTCACGGAGATGACAACTATCCACAAGATAGCACTGGCTAAATTTCTCGTCTACAGTGGGTAACATTGTTACCATACTCTGTCAGACTAAACTCCTGCAGTCTAAACAACTAACGATTCATATTAGAACACACCTGTTCGTAGTTCATTGCAGAGCATCGAACAGTGTTTCTTATGACTGTCCGATAACTGACATGCAATTCCAGAAGCTTGGCATGAAAAGGTAAAATATCTCATTAATACACTAAAATGCCATCAGCAACCCATCCAGATTTTATTGCGTGATTGACAGTACACAAACCGCAACCAATGGTCAACTGTAGACATAGGTACTAAGCGTGCACTAACTTCGAAACGGTAGAAACCCTGAAGCTTTAACGTCAACTTATCACCACGTTGTTAATGGCAAAGTAATGTTTGCGGCAAAGTGTTGGAGTCCTTCAGAACGATGACGGTCTCCTTCAGACCCATGATGATGGTGACGAAGGTTCAGTTAGATCCTAGGATCAGTCAACGCACCCCACGACGTCGGTGTGCTTGTCGTGGTGGCGGAGAAAGCCATCTTTCGCAGATGCCTCAGCTGCCTCGGTCCGGGGTTTTGTCGACCCAACCGTCTCTTTCCAGCCGGTTGACAGCGACGCTCACGACGGCCGTCACGGCTCTGATTACCATCCACTGGGCATTAGCTATGTGATCATCGGTGGCAACCGCGCCCTTGTAGTTCCCCGTTGCGAAAAATCTCAGTTTGAATCAGTAGCTGCTGTTCGACGATCATCATCTCTCATCGTCGCCGTCTCTCGTCGCGCAGCTGGGGGGCTATGTTGCGCTTTTTGCACTCCCAGGAGACTAGGGAGAGGGAAGTGACGTCAACAACGCAGCAAATGCAGATTGGATGTTGATTTTGTTTTCTTCTTTCAACATCCAATCTGCATTTGCTGTGTCGTTGACGTCACTTCCCTCTTCCAAGTCTCCTGGGAGTGCAAAAAGCGCAACATAGCCCCCCTGGTCACACTGCGATCACACGGTGTTTTTCGACGAGCGGTATTGTCGTCAGAAACAGTCGTCGTGCATCGCGAAGGCTACCGGGTACTCGGGGAAGACCCGTCATTGTGCGCGTTGGTCGAGCCATCGTTGAGCAACAAGCATCGCCGCCATTTTCTACGCTTTACAATCCTACCCAAAGCTTCTTCCCCCTCGTGCAATCGAGAGATTAGTTAAAAGCACGAGCACATCACCCTGAACGATGCTTGCACGAACGTTGGCTTCCAGTGCGCAAGCGCGCCTGCTCGACAGGGACGTTGAAAGCCCGGTGCACGTTCTTGTAGCTCCTACACCCGCATTAGCTCGCACTCATAGTGAAACAGAGAGTAGGGTGTTTCGAGTAATACCGTACTTAATCTAGTTACGCGACTTCCGCTATGTGCTACGTAGGTCGGACCTGGACATACGTCACTTTGTCGTCACGGTCCGTTCTCGAAGAGCGACAGTTACGGCAGACGGTTGCTGTCGTGTTTCGCGAACGTTCCCATGGGAACCGCGTGGAATTATCACGCGCGCTGTGGCCAATAGGAGCGCGCGGTTCGTAGGGGGGAGGAGTTTTGGAGAAACACGAACGTGACCGTTTGTGACCAGAATAGCACCCCAGGTTTGAAGAAATCAGTGTTGTCGTCCGTCGTGAACTTTGCACTCTACTTCGTTTCAATCTATCTGCGAGCGAAGCCAAAGCTAGAAGCGCGAGACCAGCACTTTGTGCGTTTCTCCCCAGCTTGCGCGCTCGAGCAAAGCCTGAACGCACGGAGCTTCCGTGCTCGCGCTTCCAGCTTTGCCTTCGCACGCGCATGAGTTGAAACGAAGTATAGAGCCACAAAAAGGTAAAAAAAGTTGAGAGAATTGGGACTTTGTGGTCCGATTATCTTGCGGCCGCCTTCATGTTTGTGGTTACTGCAGCATTCTCAAAAATTGGCATTAAAAGTTAAGAAAAAAAAAAAAAAAAGCAATCTCCGACTCTATACATATGGTGTCGGGGAGCTCAGCCGATATTGTCGCGGATTAAAAAAGGTACAAAAACGTAAAAATAAAAATAAAACTTAATCAGAAAACTTGTTCCAGAAAAAAAGAAAAAAAAGGAACGAGCGTCGAGAAAGCAGCAGCAAGCGTGGCGGTGACAGCGCGTTAGCGCGAGAGTCTTTGAGTCGGCCAGGCCACGCTGGGCTCCTTATCTACTGCCTAAAATGTTCGAACGTCGAACTAGGACGGGATTCACTCGGCAAGGACATGCTGACCTCCTCATCTTTTACACTCGGTGTCTCGAACGACATGATTAAAAACAAAGCAAAAGACGGAACAAAAGTAGAACTCAGAACGGACGCTGCCCTCCTGTGTGCTCCTTCTAACTTTGTCTCGTCCTTTTGCATTGTTTTAATAATGTCGCTCAACAGCAAACTAGCCCAGCAATCTACCCTTTTAAGGCATCGCGAACATTCGTCCAAGAACGTTCGGGCGTTCCTCACATTAGGGTTAAGGCTAAACGCGAATCGTCTAGACTAGAGTTATGGGGTAACGTTCCCACTGAACACTGCACGCGGCAATATTGTTTCTTTTTTATCGGTCACGGACGGTTTTAAAATTTCTACAGGGCGGAAAACAGTTTTCTGAGATTTCAGATAAGGCTTTAGATAACTGGTGTCAAGGAGTTTAAGCCCCAAGATGGCTGAAGTGTAGTTACTATGAAGCGTAGCGAATTTAGTGACTATTCGGGACCAACAGCAAGTGGGAGCAGGGTCCGCCGCAGGCACGTAGCCAGGGGGGGGGGGGGGGGGGGGGGGCATGGAACCCGCCCCCCACCCCTCCTCCCCCCGATACAAAGTCCTGGCTACGGGCCTGGTGCGCTGAAAGCTACAATTTCAAGCATATTTGTTTTCCCTAAAAAGAAAATGGTAATATGTTTATGCCTATTCTCAGTCTGATATTCGAATTTAGGTGACAAAAATATAGACAAAGCCGATCCCAACTCATTTTTTTTTTTAAGTGCTCCATGCTCCCTTTAGAGCCTGCTATTTTATTGTTTTGGTCACTGCCTTATTGCTGCTGTTTCGTCCTTGGTATTGAGAGCAGTCACTATAAAGCAACGCAATTGGCATGTTCACAGAAAGCTCAGAGCAGAGCTTAGTGTTTGGTTCTTCGGCGTTCTTGTCGGCTAATTCTACAATCTCATTGGCTGCGGAGCCAAAATAAGATGTTCGTCATTGGTCGCACTCTGTGTTTCTTAAGCGGTGCAGCGACTATAGATGGCGAACAATTCCTAGGCCAATATAAATTAACCCGGCGCACTTCCTCACTGTGGTCACCCGGCATAATACACATCAAAATGTATACTTACAATTTGCCGAGGGATCAGCACCATTCGAATGATTCGTGCGATTAGGCTTCGTCTCTGCGTCGCTTTGTTCCTCGGCGTTCAGCAACAGCTGGAGCAAATCATCATTCCCTGACTGTCGAAAAAGCACACGTTAGGGATAAGGACTTCCTTCGAGGTGTCTTCGGTAGCCCCATTTCAAAACCCCGTCAGGCAACATTTGTGGTCGCACGCAGACGCAAAAAACACTCGTGTCCAATGCATGTTCAGAGTACGTTCCCGAACAATGGCGGACACGGCTACTTGGTTCAGCAGCTCGCAGGTGGCTCGCACTTTTGAAAAGGGACAATTAGGAATGCCTCCATGAGGACCTCGCAGCATGTATCGTTCCCGTGCTCAACTGATCGACACTTTAGTGCGCCATATGGGTTTAGCGTGTGTAAGCCCCAGCGATCTTCATTTTAGTTTTGTTTTATTACCCTGCTTTTGGAGTGCTCTTTTTTTGTCACAATCATGGTGCATTTTATTTCCATGAAGTAATTTTGACCACCTATCGGTTTTGTAAACCGATTAAGCAATCGTGATACCAACAGACATTGAACGCTTCAGGCTGGTTCACACGATCACGACTGCTTACAACCGAGTGCTTTCAAAGTACTTAAAATTTCTTACGATGGGTGGATGGATGAATGGATGGATGGATGGACAAATGGATGGGGTTGAGCCCTTTGAGTCGGGCGGCGACTTGGGTCACCTTGCCAGTGTTTCTTCGTTTGTTTTTTCTTAACATTTATTTAACATAGAGTTATATATCTTCATACTGATTGTCTAGATATATAATTATGAGTGAGCACACTAGCGCATCCATTGGGTAACCGTGAAACACTTGCAGTTACTACATATATGACCTATTTTTTGTGCATCATTCTTTCTTGGCTTGAAAAACGTTTGAGAATTTTACAAATGACCATTTTTTATAGATTGAATATTGCGAACACAGCCAAAACCTTAACTCTGTTGAAATAGATTTCAAACGTCACCTCATAGATGGCACACCGTGCCCCAGTGCATGTTCTTCTCCCTTTCTTGAGATCACAAGTACTCGGTCCCAAGAAAACACAAATGTGCATGAACGAGCCACACTACTTCAAAATGAAAAAAAAAAAAAAAAAAAAAAAACAACAACAAGAATAGGAAGCAGAGATTTCAAACGTCACGCGAACGCGTAAACTTGCCTTATAGGTGCACCGAAGGGGTTACTAAGATCGTAATTTTATGACTGTAACGCGATTTACTTGCTGAAAGCACCCCAAAAATCTAAAGATTACAGTCGTACGTGGTCTATTTCTCTACTAAAAACTTAAAAAAATAAAGACGTTTACAATTCGTTGTAATGCCGAATTCGAGCACAGTTCTTGAGGAGGAAAAGGGGAGGGTGCAGAGGCGAGGGTCACGTGTGACGTCAAACGTGATGTCACGTGTGACGTCACAGGGATAAAATGTTTCCCAACATTTTTTTCGCTTAACTCAGCAGGAAACATTTCCCGCTAAGTTTAGCGGAAAATTTTCCCTACAAATTTTGCGGGGAAACGTTTACTCTCTTGATGTCACGCGTGACGTCACGTCTGACCTCACGAGGGTAAAGGGTAAAGGCCTACGAAGCGTCTCGGGAGTAGCGCATCCTGGGAACAGTCCGCGGCCACGCACACACTCGCTCAGTCGATCGCACGAACGTTAAACGTGCACACCAACACAGGCACACGATAACAGCACACGACAGATGGCAAGAACGTCATGTTCAGATCGCAGAAAAAAGCGCCTCACACACTCCGACTGCTCCAACTGGCTTTAACATCCCCAGGCCCGAGTATGAGGCGCTCGCACAAGGGCTTTTGGGAAAGTCACTGTCGTCGGTGTGCGGGTGGTGCGCGGTGTACGGTTTGCTTTTCCGTCGTGGGCTACGCCAGCAACGCCAACGTGCGCTGGGCTGCTTTGCGCTACGTCGTGTTGGACGTGAGGCTGGAGCAGGCTTGTACAAGATACTCATTAATTTTTTTAAAGTTAAGTTACTGAGTATCACGAAAAATAATAACTGAGTAGAGTACTAAATACTCAAATTTGGAAAGTAATTGAGTAAAGTACAAAATACTCCAAAAAAGTAACTCGTTACATTTAAGATACTTTCAAGTTACGATTTTTCAGGCAATTCATTGTCAAGCACACCCAAGGTCAAAATGGAAAACTCGAAAGGCGGCTACGCTCGCAACGTTCGCTGTAACAACGTCGCACAATGTTTTTTTTTTTTTTTTTTGGGGGGGGGGGGGGGGGGGGGGGGGATGGGGGTGTTAAGTGCAGGTGCACTTGAGCCCGAATGGGTGCCCTGGAGCATTGAGTGGCGCTTGCTACGCTCGCTCGAGTTACGGTAATCCAACTGCCTCAGCTGACGCGTTCATTGGACGCGCGGCGCTCGGCTCGCAAGGGCACCTATCGTGTTGATCATCGTCTTCGTTCGAGCCTATCGTCTTGATCATATCTGCCCCGTGTGATATGTGCTATTGAGCTCGGCTTGGGGAATACCTGTGCCATCAGATTGCGCCAACCTACCAATTGTAAAGCGGACCGCCCCTGAAAAAAAGTTGGTCTATAAACCTTTCCATTCCTTATCACCAGGGTGAAAAATGCAGGGTCACTGAGCTGTGGATGCATGCGCAGCGTCTTATGTACCGCACAGGAGAGCAATAGCGCATCCTCAGAAAGCGCTCCACAGCACAGCAGACAAAGACGGCAGCGCACAGGCGATTGTTGCAAATGTTTGTTAACGTAAGGTCCTAATAACCAGGGTGTTCTTAAAATGCTGTACAAGTTTTATTGGCTGTTGTATGTTATGCAATAAAGACAAAAGTTCTTAATTTGTTATACTAAATACCTGGATTAACATGTATTTTTCCTTTTACATATTCAATCTCGTGTTTATAAAACAAGAAATAGCTAATTTATCAGTGGTAACGCGCTCATGGAGAGGTACAGAGGGCAGGCTCTCTTAAATGAGGAAAATAAATAAAATACAACTATTTTTCCTCTTTGGGGACAACCGTAGGTACATTTGCACACCGCGTAGGGTCAAACAGGGACTTTTTGGCGCAGACGTGGAGACTATCCAGTTCGGCCACCTGACAACACTGTCATGGTGGGCGCCGGCAGCCATTCGTGCTACCGAAAACAAAGCTGCGTACGCCGCGGGCGATGCGCCGCCGGATTGGAGCCGTGTAGTCGCTCGCGTTTTACGAGTCTTGTGGGCGAAGAGAGCCTAGTGAAACGAACGAGCAGTGTGTGCGACTGTGTGCGGATGCAAAGACATTTCTGAAGCTGGAAGGCTTTCTTTTATATGCTCTCACTCTATAATATAGAAAAATAAACTCCGGTTTACTGTTGACTCTTACCAGACACTTGTAGACCCCACCCTTTTTCCGACACAAGTGCCCTCCCTCTGGCTTGTAGCCTTGTACACATCTTATGCTTTCACCCACATGCCCTTCTGCTCCGGAATCTCTGCCGGTCTTGGGCTTGGCCACAAACAAATTGTTAGAAAATGTGCTGTGACGTTTTGCCCAATTAGAAGACACAACACGCGTCCGCCCGGCTTGAGGCTGCGACACCTGCTTTTCTGTGTCATCTCTTTCAGCAGAAGTACGGAAGTGCACTGTATTACCTGGCACAAAATGTAGCTGCAATGGCAGGGCGCCTAGCCAAGATAACGGGAGTTCAATATTTTCCAAGCTTCCCGCCTCTAAAGGAAATGAAAAATAGAAAGTAACCTAAAAGTAACTTTAAAATGAGCACAAGTTACTTGAAAAAAGTATTTAAGTTTAAACACTAAATACTGACGTCCGAAAGTATTCGCAAGATACCAAGATACGTACAAGTCTGGACTAAAGGGAAGACTCCCATTCGTGGCCAGCCTCGGCCGACGCGAGCGGGCGTGTGCGTGCACTCGTCGACGCTACAATGCGCGACGCCGACGGGTGTAGCGCGTTGAAGACGTACCGCGACGGCCCGCCGCGGCTAGATGGCGCTAGCTACCGCCCGTTATAAAGAGTACCATCGATGCCCATCGATCTATCCATCCATCCGACGGAGTTGGGCCCACTGACAAGAAGTATAAAAGGTTAGGAGAGTGCATGGACGTCAGCCGCGTAGCCTCCACAAGCCATGTTCACTTGACGCCTCGCCTCTTTCTCATTTTCCTCCTTTCTCTCCTCACTTATCAGCCCAACATGACCACATCACGTAACCATAGCTAGCCTTCGTCTAGCCTTCGATCTGATAAAACCTACCGGACGGAGCGCGCGCAAGCCTGCAAGGAATCCTCCTGCAATCGACCATCCATCTCGCACGTGACACATCACGCGCACCGATCGCCAGAGATATCTGCGGTCACCGGTCACGTTGGGCACAATATCGTTTAAACGTTTTATGACTAGACTTCACCAATATTGCAACATGCCCACTCCTATACTCCGTTTCACCTTATGTTGTACCGCAGCGAAGGCTAGAAGCGCAAGCTCATAGCGTTGGCAGCTGTCCTCGGTGCACGGGAGCTTGTGCCGCCGAGATGTGCCCTTGAGCAAGGAACACGCGCATGTAGCCTTTCCTGCGGTACAACACAAGGTGAAACAGAGTATAGTACTTATAACCTCCTTGCTTACTGATCAGTGATTGATGATGATTTCCATGTCAATTGCTGGATCGCGCTTCCCGCTCCGGCGAGTGAAGTCGCCGGAGGGCCATCATGCTCGTAGAGGATTTCCGGTTTTGCTAGCGTTACAGAGGCTGGCGGCAGCGTGCTGAAGACACGGTTTCTACTCGTTTGTCGTCATTCGTCAAATACGACTTTTAAGACCCTATGTAAGGTTTGAGGCTTGCCGTTGAGAATACGTGGAAATTTTTTCAAAACCGCAGAGAAGCAGTAAAAGGCCACAAAAAATAAAGATTCTGTACTACTGATTTGATTGCCAAAAACTTTTAGGAAAAAAAAAAAAAGCGCGCCGGTGATGCCGTTTTTTTCCACCCTCTTTTGTCGTCAATGGACACGGGATCAAGCTTATTTCTGGGTGGACCGCGAGTGCCGCAAGTTACAAATACAGTCAGAGTAAAAGTTAAACGCTGCCCAAAGGTGCATACGGCTTCACGCACACTGCACTCGCAAAACACATCCACACCGCGCCGAAACGAATCTTGATCGGTATACAAGCTTGCGAAGGCACAGAGACGCAGTACTGCGGCGTGCCAAGGAAGATTTGATCAGGCCGCGAGACCGGTGACACTTGCTTTCGACGAGTTGTGCCTTTTTCCTGCGGCACTGCGCTTTCGTAAAATTTTTCGCGTGTTCACAAAGGCAAGTCTCAAAGGTCATACAGAGTCCTAAAAAAACTTCTTCGGCGAATAACGACGAACGAGTAGAAAACGTGTCTACAGCACGCTGGAAAACCGCAGCAGTTTAAACGCTAGCAAAACCGCGAATCGTCAACGAGCAAGATGGCCGTCCGGTGGCTTCACTCGCGCTGCAGCGAAAAAGGCTGGGAGCGCGATCCAGCGATTGTTATTTAGATCAGGGCGAATAGTTCCGCAACCGCCGCGAGGCCGCTATCGCCTCAAGTTCCACTGCGTCGAGCGCTTTAGATTCCCTTGCGAAAGAAGAGCAGATCGCTCGCCTGGAAAGCCACAGTTGAGAAGAGAAGCTCCTCTGCTTTTCCTTCTTCAGCAGAGTGAAAAGGCAGATTTTTTTTTGTGTGTTTTTTTTTTTGCGAAGACTTACCTGTTTTTTCTCTTTACGTAGGCGCACCAGCCCTGCGATGTGTCTATGAAAGATTCTGGTATTTTTTACCATTATGCATCCTTGCACATAGAAGAACACTTTTTTTATCCAGAGCCATAACGGGATGACGTCTGTGAAATGAACAGGAACAGTACGATGGGATTGATATGAGAAAAAAAGTCAAATTTGGAGGTTTTACGTGCCAAACCAACGACGGGCATCTGGCACACCCCAGCGGAGTACTGAGGATTAATTAGGACCACCTGGAGATATTTTGACGTGCAACCGAAAGCTCAGTTACATGGCGCCTCCTCCGTAATAAGCCTCTGTCAGATTGCGGGCACCTCGGCCGGCATTCGAACCCGCCACAAGGGGATCCGTAGGCCAGCGCTCTCGCCTCGGAGCCACCGAGGCGGCTATTGATATGGGATACAACCATGCGAATTCGCGCTAGTGGTTCACCATGTCTGCACAAAACCAGCAGCGGTGTTACAAGCTGTGCTTCATTACTTCACCTCAAAAACTTCTGCAGTAAAGACAAAAGCGCACGCGCGTGTGCCTCTCTCAGCAGCATGCTTTTGTTTGTACGAGGACTCGTGCCTAAAAGGCACTTTCTAAAGCCTCGCGCTCGCGCCCATGCCTTTGTCTTCACTTCATCTGTTTGTGAGATGGAGTAGTAGAGTCCCAAGCCACTTGTCCTTACGAATACAAAAAGTGCCGCTTCACATAAGCATATATATGCTCCTCACGAAGCAGTGCGTATTGCCATTATTAACCTTTTGGGAAAGTGTGGAAAAAAAAATCGCGCGGGCGGTCACGCGACGCGATACGAATGAACAACGTCAGCTGGTGAGACATTTTGATGATATCTCGCCGTGATTGAGTACGCCTTTTGGTGATGTTGCGTCCCGCGGTAACTTCCCCATCCGTCCTTTTTTTTTATTGTTTTTGGGTCGCACGGTGATTGCTTCGTGTGTACTACTTGTCTACTCACGAACAATACGTAGGCACGTAGCACACTCCTCGAAGCCAGTCAGGTCACTGTCCGGGTACGACGACTGAAGAACCTCGAGGCAAGCCGCCGTCAAAGACACCAAGTTCCGCGTAAACCAGAACCGATCGTACAGTGAACAGCTAGCACCAAACATGTTCTCGCGAACGCGCTGCACAAATTTTATGGTCAAACCAGCGTGTCACCTGTTCGCTCCGTAACGCTCTCTTCTAAGTAGACTGCATGATCTCGACGTCGAATCAGGCACATCATAACCTCCAGAGTGATACCGTCGGCGCCAATTTCGCGCGGAAAGGCTTAGAGGGCTTAGGCAATAGCCGACCGAAGGCGAGAAAGAGCAAGTGGCGAGGAGGGCGATCACACGATCCCCAGTGCAATCGCGATTGGCCAGCAAGCTGGGCCTCAACCGCGAATATTATCAGCGAAAGCGCGAGGCTGTCAGTCTGTACCAGGGCTGCCAACACGGAAAGTAAGATTTTCCCCAGCGGACGCCTGAAATTTAACTATTTCTGCCAAAATTTCTTTTTCTAGCCCAAATAATTGTCTAATATTAAATATTCGTTGTTTTCTCATCACCTCCATGGTTATCATGGTAGACCTACATATTTCCGCGCGCAGGGCTGAGAAAGCAACGCTCGATCACGAACCTCTAGGAAGTTCCCGTTCATTCTTGTTCCAGACGTAACTTCCATCGTTTATCCCTGCTTTTGTTGTTCCAGAAAGTGCGTGTTCATTCTCGCCCCGAGCGCGCTACGCTCGAACCTTCCCCTCCGAATCTTCGAGATAGTGACTCACCTTAGATAAGAGGCCACCCGCGACCTTGTCGAGTCAGTTTCGCCCCAGCGTTCGACTCTTCAGCTACGCCCACTTCGACGCCCGCGACGCTCTGTTATTATCTTTTGTACCCTTTTATTTTTGGCTCAAGTTCGCCACATTAAACGTTGATTTCATCCTGTTTATTTCTTATTCATTGGTCACCACCCGTGACAATATTATATCGCCTTTACGCCACACATGCGTTTAGCAAAAATGAGTTTATGGGGTGAAAACCGTGGCCAAAGCCAATCTGGTGAAGGGCGATTCAAACTGTGGAATGAAACTCTATTTTCGCCATAGATGTTAGGCGGGTCATCAAAACAGCATACTGCTTTAATAACTTCATTTGCGCTTTTTTATAATTGTCAGTCCAAAACAAGAGGTGCAACACAAGCGAGAGCTCTCAAACTCGAACACATGGAAGACGACCCACAGTAAGTACTACTCCGTGCACGGCACTTCACGAAATGCGATGTCTGCATCTTCAGACATCGCAGTATTTCTTCTTATACTCAAGCTTCCTTTCTCGAGAAGGCACATCGGCGCTCTCATAAGTTTCGACTTGGCTTGTACCTTCCTCAGCATGTTTGACGGGGCGAGTGGGCGATGCAAACTGATTTGCCGAAAAAGGTTGTGGGAGTTCTTCGCAGTGTTATAAGATGGCCGCACAACAATCCGCGCCAAACGGCTGTAGGAAATAAACTCAGGTATAGCCAAAGCCGCTGACATTCAATGCTATCTCGGAAAAAAATCACAATTAACCTTTAAAAAAATCCAGATATATAAGGCGCCCAAACTTTCCCTCAAATCAGCATGATTTCCCTTATTCCCACATAGACCTGAATATTACCTTAATCTGGGGATTTTCCCTCAGGTTGGCAGTCCTGGTCGGTACTCACCCTTTCCCGGCGCCAAAGTAACCCGCCATAGACGCACGCATGCTCCAATCGTTTTCGCAAACACCACCCATGCCCAGTACAAGCCCACTACAGCTGATGCTGTAAAAGTCTCCTATCGGTGGACATCCCGATGTACATGGCGCCTCACAATTGACGCCGCAATGGCATTTGCCGTTTCTGACAGTCCCTGCGGCGGCCGATTGAACTACCTGAAGAATGTTTGGATTCCGAATTCTATCCCATCCTGAAAGGCATCCCGATCGTTTTGGTGACAAATTTAACAGTATGTAGCCGACACCACCTCAGTGTTTGGGAACCCAGTGACGGCGTTAAGTATGGAGAGCACTGTACATAAAATACTCACCACGCTGGTCCTCATGAAGAGGAACAGCTCGGCCTCGTGTGGCAGGCGTAGAAAATTGTGATCACTTCATTTGTGTACGATAATAAAGTGAATCTCTCTCTCTCTTTCTACAGACTTATTCAGAACACGCGTGTGTTATCGCATGGGAGTGCTATTCGCGACTCCAGCTCGTTGCTCGCCCTCTCACGGCAGAAACGGGAAGTGCTCTTGTGAGGGTCCCCCCTGTTCAGAGGACACGACGCAACTGCGCGCGATCATGGCTTGCGAAATGTCATTTCTGAACGCAGACAACACTCTTCACTGTTCCCACGTAGTGCTGCAACAGGCATGGCATTGTACCTTACTAGAGAGTTTTAGTATTGCGTATAGAAGTAAACGAAAGCGCTGTGCGTTTGCGTTAGAGTTGCGTGCCCCACGTTGTGCGTCCGCCTCATCGCCATGCGCAAATCCAAGACCGCAATTTCGGGCTCCGCGCACGCTCTAACGCAAACACACAGCACTTGCGTTCGCTCGTATACACAATACTAAAACTCACAGCTGTTTCCAACGCCAACGCAACTTCAGTGAGCAGACTTGCAAGCAAGTTCACTCGAACTGGAAAGGCTGAGATTGGCAAAACGACGGTGCGTAAAAATGAAAGTAACTAAATGTTATGAAAAATTGCTAATTAAAAAAAAAAATCTCCCTTTTTACTTTTTTATTTTGGGATGTTTGGTCTGGAAGGATTTTGGTGGCGTCTTTGTAACTCTGGCCGATTGTCGGGAGTGGCGACTTTGATAGCCAATATTATGCTTTATCCAGAATTAATGTATTTTTACATGAATTTCTCACACTAGCGAGGATGTTTTGATCGATTTTAGACTATTTTTAATCTATAACTTGGCAAATAAAAATTCTGCATTTGGCACTACTGGTGATAATTAGCACACTTTTGATTGCCATACTTGTTCCCGCGCGTTTAAAATTCGATCGATTCATAAGCAACAGATTATATTAGTTCTTGAAAATTCCGTATTAAAATATCTGAATTATAATATTATTATTATTAATACAAATCACGGCAAATGCATGCCCTCAATTAACGCCACGATCACAAAAATATGCCATTTGAAAGATATCATATTTTGCTTGTTTTTCTTTTGAGCATATGTTAAACTCTGACATCGTTATCAAGATGGACAAACACTAAAATGCTGGATCCGATATAAAGTCCTTTGCGTCAAGCGTTGCATTAAAAACACACACACACTTCAGCTGTCTGACTCGGATTTTACCTTTGGGTTGTTGTAGCGAGAACAGCGTTTATTAAGTTATGCGTTTTGTGGGCATGTTGTAAAAATTGGTTTTATTTTGTTTTTGTGCTAGGAATAATGTTAAAGCGAATAATCGTCTCAATACCCGAACCATCAAAATTCCCGCAGTTCATTATTTAACATGACAATCATCTGAGCGAGAAAAGGCAGCGAGAACGCACAAATATCAGTACCGATTTTTTCAACAGCTACATTATTCTATGCTACTTTTAAGGTGTATGAAATACCCCGTCTTTAAAGGGACACTGAAATCGAGAAAATATTTTGAAATGCTTGAATCGAACATGTATGTCACAGAAAAACGCTTCCACGAACAACTACTTGAACTAAATAATTGCGATGTGATACGCAATTGAGTTATGAAAGAATTCGAAATTAAAACCGGTATCTAGAAAATAAATGGAAAACAGGGGTTAGTTTCGGTTTCGCTCTAGAATTAAAACGTGCCTCCTGGAGTAAATATGACGCTAAACACCGTTTTTGTTTTCAGGATAAAGAGGTGACCTGCTCTCATACCAACTTAACTTCCCCGTATTACCAGAAATAATTTGTGTCGCTCAGTGAGGCCACCACACTAGACAGGCTCAGCAGCGGCACACATCTCCGGCCCTCACTATAACCGCCATTTTGAAAAACGAATGGCGCCACCTGTAGTTGGAGTCGCGAATTGTGGCGTCAGCCGAAGAACTGGCATAGCGCTCAATGAAACAGTCCGAGCAGGAAAGGCCACTGGCTCAAGGTTAAAATCGCTGCTGCACCGGGGATAGCTCAGACATTTGGCTTGCAAAACGATCCACGTCTCGCGCCCCATTCAGTAGAAACGTCAAATGCTTACCGATTGAATCATCCGATTACTGACGGTTTCGGTAGTCACCTAGGCATCCTTGTGCGAAAAAAGCGATAAGTATATAAATTGACCAGCCGGCAAACTTACTTTATAGTCCCCGGTTCAGTGAGCGGCCTTCTCTGCTAGGGCGTTTCTTTTGCGACACTGAGTGACAGAATAGTCCTTCAGCTGCCACCAGGATAGCGTTCCTATGTGAGCAGACGCCGTTTGCGTGCTCCGGGTAAGATTGGTGAGTGCTGTCCTTGAGAAATCCACCAGAGCGTCGGTATTCCGTAACTTTATAAGAAAGTACTCACTCGAATACAGGATCCAGTTGTGGTCAGGCCCTCTAATAGCGGCCCGGACACGATGCAGAACGTCTTCGGATTGTTCGGAAGCCGCCTGAAAACCTAGCCCAGTCCCCATCGTAAAACGCAAGAGGATCTCCGTGGAAAGTCTGCAGAAGCGTATGCTGATATCCACGCCTTTGCGATCCCCTACAGTCTTGTCCAGTATCTCCAGAAACTCATCAGTGCATTCGTTCATCATCGGAAATGCCTATGAAAAACAAACAAAAGAACAACAATAAGGGATCCGAGTTTCTGGAGTTTCTTTACATGCGTGCCAACAACATTGGGTAGGAGTGTTCCTCACTTTACGCAAACTTACTGCTACCAGTAGGACCCAAATATACTCACACGCAACGCCAAAAAAAAAGTTTAGTTTTTCTATTTTGGCGAAGAAGGAATACCAGCGGAGCTGTAATATGGAAAGTAATGGCCGGCCGCATGTCGGAAAGGCTGTCGCCATCTATGAGCGACGGCGGCAACCAGATATGTGGCTTGCCGTCGTCGCTCATAGATGGCGTTAGGTGTCCAGAGTTCGGTGTCTTCATTTCTTTGCGGGGACACGATCCTGGGGAAACTAGCACTTAACAGCACTGCTGTAAAAAAAAAAAAAAAAAAAAAAAAAAAAAAAAAAGCTTTTTTTGAGATTGTGTCGTGTAATTTCAAGAGTATAGAAGCTGACGTTTTCTTTCAGTCTCCACAAAACTAGGTGACAAAACCTGAACTGAGCGCGTTGGTAACAGATACAAAAATACGAAAGCGTCCGTCCTCTTTATCTAACTCTTTCGCATTCTTAAATTGGTGACGAAGTTGCGGGGATCACATTGGTGGCGTTGTCAGCAATGCGGTCACCGGAGTTTGGTCAGCGAGATTTCTGGTACCAGCGGTGACAGTATTTCAACGCCGCTAATACAGTGCACACGAGCACTGCTAAAGCATTCGATGTAGGCTCGGGAGTCGGGACAATCCATGCCTCAAGATGCTTTCTGGTACAGTCCGTTCACTCTTAAGTTGAGAGTGGGTTGTTCGGGTTGGTTGAGGTTTTATGGCGCAGAAGCATCTTAGGCTATGATGCGCCAGGTACATAAGCTATTGCAGATAGGGTTTCGAAGAGGATAGCACTTTAGTAGTTGACGATAGATTAAAATTATGTGTATGACTTGTAAGTAATTATGGGCATGAAGTTGGGGTGTAAAATCATAGTGGGTGTAAAAGGCCGATAGCTTTCAAGAAGCTAAAAACGCAGTGATATGGAACTAATGGTTCGTTGCCAAGCCAAATAGAGAGGTTTAAGGGCGTATGCTCTTTATATAGCTGAGAAAAATGTTTCCGTCGGTCTAGGTCGTAGGCAGGGCATTCTAATAATATGTGTGCGACAGTTAAAGGACTATTGCAGTGCTCACACTCTGGGGCTTCCTCCCTGCGCAAAAGATGGCCATGGGTGAGGTGCGTATGCCCTATCCTTAGCCGACACAGGCACTTCATAAAATCGCTCACGGTGTCGTGCACTCTCCCACTCACTAAGCAGTGGCTTTACAGTATGCAGCTTTTTATTTACTTCTTGGCCCCATTCTTGCTGCCACTTCTATCTTATACAATGCCTTAAAAAGCTGTGACAGTCCTTATATGAAATGTCATGTAGTCCGACTTCTTTGTCACCAGCAGAACTGGCTGCAAGGTCTGCTTTCTTATTACCCGGTGTTAAAGAAAGGACTAGAACCGCTCCGTACCGTTTGCGTCCATTTTATCTACAAGAAGAACTCGATCGCCGGTGCGCCGGCTCGCGAGCCCGCGCTGTAGCCGGGCTCTCCTCTTCTTCTAATATTCAACATCCTCCTCCTCCCCCCCCCCCCCCCCCCCCCCCCCGCCGGCGTTGCGGATGGTGTTCCCGCCTCGAGGAGATAGAGGCGCTGAACAGGGCGGCGCAGTTGCGAGCCGTTAGAAAGGCGTAGCGCATGCTCGAGTTACGCCGTCCCTGCCCGGGAACGTAGTCGTCACCCGACCAAGTTTCCATAGCAGAGGAGGTGTGTTGTCGTCCTCTACGATGACCACGTCGCCGATCTGTAGTCGAGGCGGTGATGTTGTGGTGCTGATGTGGGCGGAGCGTAACTGCAGCAAATATTCTTTTCTCCACCGCTTCCAAAGGTGTTCCAACGTCCGCTTCCAAACTTGAGCACGGCGGCGAAGGTCCACAGGTTTTCAGCTCAGCGATGTAGGATCTACTTCCAACGGTAGACTGATAGCGCGTTTTCCTAGGAGGAAGTGCGAAGGTGTCAATGCCTGAAGATCGTCGGGTTCGGAACTTAGATAAGTCAGTGGGCGGGAATTTAAAACGGCTTCAACTTCGAGGAGCACGGTGGTCAGTTCCTCGTATGACAGACTGTTGCGACCCAGACATCGTTTCAAGCAGTCCTATACAGAGCGGATGACGCGCTCCCACCATCCTCCCCACCAAGGGGCTCGCTCCACGTTGAAGCGCCATTGAATTCGGAGTCAGCTTGTGTAGTCTTGTACTTCAGGAGAGGAGGCGAGGTTGAGGAGTTTTGCGGATTGGTGGAATGTTCGAGCGTTGTTTGAGTAGACTATAGATGGCAGACCTCTACGAGAGACAAAACGACGAAAGGCGAACAAAAAGGCTTGAGACGTCGTGCGCGAAGTAAGTTCGAGGTGTATGGCTCGGGTGACCACGCAAGAAAAAACTGCAATGTAGGCCTTCGTATCGACCGCGGTGTTAAGAACATATTGCCGCGCGCAGGGCTGAGAAAGCAACGCTCGGTCACGGACCTCTAGAAAGTTCTCGTTTATTCATGTACCGCACGTAACTTCTATCATTTCTTCCTGCTTTTGTTTTCTAGAAAGTGCGTGTTCATTCTCGCCCGATCACGCGACGCTCGAGCCGCTTTCGCCGAATCATCGAGATAGCGACGCACTCTAGATAAGAGGCCGCCCGCGACCTTGTCAAGTCAGTTTCGCACCAGCGTTCGACTCTGCTGCTACGCCGACTTCGACGCCCGCGACGCTCTATTATTATCTTTTGTACTCGTTTATTTTTGGCACAAGTTCGCCACATTAAACGTTTATTTCTTTCTGTTTATTTCCTGTTTTTTTTGGTCACCACCCGTGACATTTTGGTGGAGGTGCGGGGTAATCGGCTGAAGGAGACCTGCTGGCTTTGACGGTGGTTTCTTGCGTCGCTGGCACTCATGGCACGATCGTGTGTAGAGATGGACGGTCTTCGGAAGCTTTGGCCAGTAGTACTTGTCACGAATCCGGGCAAGGGTCCTGCTGTAGCCGAGATGTCCGGCCGTTGGGTCGTCGTGGCACGCTTGAAAAATTTCTTCTCGGAGGCTGGCGGGGACAACCAGTAGCCAGGGGGTTTCGCTGGTTCCGAAATTCTTTCTGAAGAGCACGCCTCGCCGCAGGACAAAGCTCGGTAGGTCCCGAGAAAAGACCCGTGGGACAGAGCCTCCTCGACATTCGAGGCTGTCGATTACGGAGCTAAGTTCCGCGTCGTCGCGTTGTAGTGCCCTCATGTCGGTAGCATTAACTGCGCCTAGAAAACGGGCGTCGTCATCGTCGTCCGCGCCGGAGATTGGAGGTTCGACTGGAGCCCTAGACAAACAGTCAGCGTCATTATGCTTGCGGCCAGACTTATGCACAATGGTTACGTCGAATTCCTGCAGTCGAAGGCTCCAGCGGGCGAGGCGTCCGGACGGATCCTTGAGGTTTGCGAGCCAGCAGAGGGCGTGGTGGTCTGTGACCACGCGAAACGGGATCCCGTACAAGTACGGGCGGAACTTGGTTATCGCCCAGACGACAGCAAGACATTCTTTGTCGGTCGTTGAATAATTTTGTTCTGCCTTAGACAGCGCCCGGCTTGCGTAAGCGATTACTCTTTCTGCCCCTTCTTGTCGCTGAACGAGTACCGCACCGAGACCGGTATTGCTGGCGTCCGTGTGGATTTCAGTCTCCGCCGACTGGTCAAAATGTCCGAGGATAGGGGGCGACTGGAGCCTTCGCTTGAGTTCGTCGAACGCTTGCTCTTGCTCCTCTCCCCACTGGAACTGCACGTCGTCTTTCGTCAGATGCGTCAGCGGTGCAGAAATTTGCGCAAAGTCACGAACGAAACGTCTGTAATAGGCGCACAGCCCAAGGAATCTTCGAACGGTCTTCTTGTCTGATGGCTTCGGGAACTCGGCGACAGCGGACGTCTTGGCGGGATCAGGGCTTACACCCTGAGCACTCACGACGTGGCCCAAGAATTTCAGCTCAGCATTTTTCGCTGAGACCGCGATTCGTCGTCGCGGTCTCAGCGAAAAACTTCTGAAGCGCTACTTTGGGCCCTACAAGATCATCCGACGCCTCGGCGATCTGAACTACGAAGTTCTACCCGACGGAACGCGCCCATCTGCAAGACGTCAGCCGCGACCCGAGGTGGTGCACGTCGTCCGGCTGAAGCCGTATTACGAACGATAGGACTCTCCACTCTCGTCGACGAGTGAACTGTGGACTGTAAACTCCGGCTAGCAATTCTGCTGTCCTTTTGTTTTTTTGTTTTCCGTTTTTGTGCTGCATCGGGACGATGCACTTTTAAAGGGGGGGATAATGCCGCGCGCAGGGCTGAGAAAGCAACGCTCGGTCACGGACCTCTAGAAAGTTCTCGTTTATTCATGTACCGCACGTAACTTCTATCATTTATTCCTGCTTTTGTTTTCTAGAAAGTGCGTGTTCATTCTCGCCCGATCACGCGACGCTCGAGCCGCTTTCGCCGAATCTTCGAGATAGCGACGCACTCTAGATAAGAGGCCGCCCGCGACCTTGTCAAGTCAGTTTCGCACCAGCGTTCGACTCTGCTGCTACGCCGACTTCGACGCCCGCGACGCTCTATTATTATCTTTTGTACTCGTTTATTTTTGGCACAAGTTCGCCACATTAAACGTTTATTTCTTTCTGTTTATTTCCTGTTTTTTTTGGTCACCACCCGTGACACCACAGAAAGAGGTCCACAGAAATCGATGCCGACGACATTAAACGGACCTGTTTCTGTGATTCGCTCACGCGGGAGAGGAGCCATGGGTGCAGTTTCTGGTACGAGCTTCCGGCGCTTGCAAGGTAAGCAGGTGTGCATGACCCTTTTGACGGTCTGCCGTCCCCTCGGTACCCAAAATCTTTCCCGTACCTCCGTCAGGGTATCTTGTATTCCACCATAAAGCAGTCGGTTGTGTAAGTCCAACACTAATAGGTGTGTAAAT